GAGTAGAGTAGAGTAGAGTAGAGTAGAGTAGAGTAGAGTAGAGTAGAATAGAATAGAATAGAAAAAGAATAGAGTAAAGTAGAATAGAAATAGAATAGAATAGAATAGAATAGAAAAAGAATAGAAAAAGAATAGAGTAGAGTAGAGTAGAATACAATAGAATAGGAATAGAATAGTATAGTATAGAATAGAAAAAGAATAGAGTAGAGTAGAATACAATAGAATAGAAATAGAATAGAATAGAATAGAAAAAGAATAGAAAAAGAGTAGAGTAGAATAGAAAAAGAATAGAGTAGAATAGAAATCAGAATAGAATAGAATAGAAAAAGTAGAATAGAATAGAAAAAGAATAGAAAAAGAATAGAAAAAAGAATAGAATAGAAATTAGAATAGAATAGAATAGAAATTAGAATAGAATAGAATAGAATAGAATAGAATAGAATAGAATAGAAATCTTTATTGACCAAGGGTGATTCGACACACAAGGAATTTGTCTTTGGTGCAAGTGCTCCCAATGTACATAAAAGAAAAGAGACATCCGTCAAGAGTCAAGAATCATCAGGTCCAACACTTAATGATAGTCATAGGGTACAATAAGCAATCAAACAGTCCATATAAATTGTAAAGGTACAAGCTACAAAGTTACAGTAATAAAGTCACAAGTGGGAGGGGATGGGTGATAAGGAGTGAAGACAAGATTAATAGTAATAATGGTGCAGACTTTGTAAATAGTTGGACAGCGTTGGGGGAATTATATGTTTAGCAGAGCGATGGCGTTCAGGGAAAAACCGTCCTTGTGTGTAGTTGTTGTGGTGTGCAGTGCTCTATAGCATCGTTTTGAGGGTAGGAGTTGAACCAGTTTATGTCCGGGATGTGAGGGGTCTGTAGATATTTTCACAGCCCTCTTTTTGACTCGTGTAGGATACAGGTTCCCCATGGAAGGCAGGTGGGTAGCCATTGTTTTTTCTGCAGTCCCGATTCCTCTCTGAATTCTGTGTCTGTCCTGTTGGGTTGCAGAGCCAAACCAGACAGTCATAGAGGTGCAGATGACAGACTCCATCATTCCTCTGTAGGTCAGTAAATGAATGATGCAAACGGAAGGACAACCTGCAGCTCTCATAATTGTGGTTTAAATTCTTAAAAGAGTGTTTGCGGTTTGGGGCAGAGTATAAATACTGTAAATAAATAAATAAATAAATAAACTACTGCTATGACATCAGGTTAGCTTTTTTTTTTTTAATTTTCCCCGTCCTTTAAACTTTGCTGTTTTGAAGGAGGCCGTGTAACATTCTTGACTCTGTCATGGCACTGAACCTGCAGGTCACATTCGGATACAAGATTTCTCCATTCTCTCCGGAGACCTTGTTTAAGTCAAAGCCGCAAGGGTGTTTATGAGATTATTTTTCTGTCCCTCAATGTGGATGGATTCTAAGCTATTTCCTTTATCAGATTTCAGGCAGGAGATAAATTCAATACATCGTGTTTTGTTATGTTTTGTTTTTTGTTTTTAATATCCCAGCTTCCAAACACATGGGAATATGAAAATCTGAGATGTGGTTCCAATGTCATGTTACCTAAATATTATTATTATTATTATTTCTCTCTTACCTTTTCCAGCCAAATCAAGTAGGAAGCTCACTTTCCTATACTTGGCGAACGATGTCATTCAGAACAGTAAAAAGAAAGGACCCGAGTTTACGAAGGAATTCGAATCGGTGCTCGTGGATGCTTTTTCACACGTGGCCAGGTCGGTAAAATTCCTTCCTGGCTTGTCTGTCTCTCGTGTGGGGTTGGCTGCTGGCACCCAGGTTGGCATCAGCGCTTTTCACGGAACTCACCCCTGTTGCAGTTATTCCAAAAGACAGCGGCTCGAGGCCGTGGGGTTTTCTCCTGCTACTGAAATATTGTGTGTCCTGGTTGTCCCAAAGGGGCTTTTCTTTCCAAGACTCAAATGGACCTTTCTTGGTTTTTCTTTGAAGACGTTTCGCTCCTCTTCCAAGAAGCTTCTTCAGCCCAGGACTGGATGGTGGGGAATGGACGGATTGATCCTCCTTGCAGACAGCTGGCCATTTGCCTCCTTGTAGAGGGTTGTTGAGACCGCTTGGAGGTTTGTCTGTGACCTCAAGCTGACCTGCGTTGTGCCAATGGTTCCTGTAGTCTGCCATTTTTCTGGAAATCCCGTTCATGCCCCTACGCCATTGGAAGGGTGTTCGTCCAAAATTGTATGGCTGAAAATCTGTAGAGATTCTCAGTCATCCAGGTCACAGGTATAAACCTCCAAGTGGCCTCAGTGACCCTCCAAAAGGATGCAAATGACCAGCTGTCTGCAAGGGGTGTAAATCTTTCCATTCCCCACCATCCAGTCAGAGCTGAAGAAGCTTCTGGGATGAGAAGCGAAACGTCTTCAAAGAAAAAAAAACCAAGAAAAGTCCAGTTGCCTCTTGGAAAAAGCACCTTTGGGACAACTATGACCTGGGTGATGGGAAACCTCTGCAGACCTTTGTGTCTTGTGGTGTTTTCCGTAAAACGTGGGCTACGTGTCCAGAAGGGCTGCCAATTGGATCTTCCTCTGAAATGTTCCTTTGTCCTTGCTGCAGTACGGATGAGAAGAGGTTGCCCAATGTGTGCGTGTGTGCGTGCGTGTGTATTTGTTTGTGTGTGTATTTGTCTTTGTATGCAGGTAGCTTTTTTCTGTTTCTCACAGCCTTTGCCATCGTCTGTCAGACTGCAATGGCATTGTAAGATGCAGGTTTTGGTGTGTGTGTGTGTGTGTGTATGGGGGGGTTCTCTCTGCACAGGATCGCACAAGGGGTATCTGATTAGAGCTAAATGGGGCATCGCCTCTGACTGACAGGAAGAGAAGTTCAACCATCAAGTTAAAAAGGGATGATTTCCCGGAAAGGGAACCGGCTTTCTTCCAGGGCAGGTAACAGAATAACAGAGCTGGAAGGGACCTTGGAGGTCTTCTAGTCCAACCCCCCCGCTTGGGCAGGGAGACCCTGTACCACTTCCGAACAAAGGTATTGGTTCAGTTGTCAGCAATTGAGTTTTCAACCTACCCTGGTACCTCGATTCCCATTGCCAATTGGTTCCGGGAGGTGTAATGAGTACCAAAAATGATGAGTACCCATCCGATTTTCCCCGCGAGGAATAAAAACGGAGTGAGTCACGAGGCAGCCAACGCCGACAGGTTCTAACTTTTGCGTTGCGTACCAAACAAACAGTGAGCTCCGGGACGACCTTGTCACGTGAAAAAGGCATTACCAAATTGGATGAGCTTCAAAGCAGTTGCGTTCCAAGGTAACGCTGCACTTGGGCGTACTTGGGATAAACACTTGTCCGGTAGGCAACGCCATTTTTTTAAAAAATGAGAATTAAAAAATTCAAACAGCAGCAGACTTCATGGACCCACTCGGTCTTCTTCTGCCGTTGTATTTCCCATCTTTCTGTGTTTTCTACGTTTTAGATTAAAGCTCTTTACCGTCCCAACTGCAACTAACTGCAAGTAGTTAAGGTGTTGGCCTAGAAACCAGCAGGGTGACTTAGGGCCAATCACCAGGAGATGGTGAGTTCTAGTTCAGCCTTAGGCATGAAAGCCAGCAGGGTGACTTTGGACCAATTATCAGGAGACGGGGAGTTCTAGTTCTGCCTTAGGCATGAAA